CGGGGCAGCGTCCCGGGCCGGTGCGGGCGGCCGGGCCGGGCCCGCCAGCCTGGGCCGCACGGGCGTTCCTTAGAGCTGCGAGGCAGGGGCGAGATTGACACAACAGCGCAACTTGTGCGAATGGGCGGTATAGTCTGTGTTCAGGTTATTTCAGCCTGTGCTTTTGCGCGTGTTTGTGCGAGAGGCAGCGGCTGTTGTGGCCCTGGAGGGGCGTGTGTGCTCAGCTGCTCCTCAGAGGGGCAGGCAAGGGGAACCGAAGTCGGTGTCTTAAATTGTTCTTATGTGGTTCTTAAGATAATGCGTAGGCTATTCATAAACCAGCCACCGTGTAACAGTATTTGGAAAACGTTGGTGCAAGAAAGAAGCTGCTTCTAGTTTGCCAAGGGAGCAGTTCAAGTGACACTTTGCAAGTTATTGAAGTAGAATGCAGCAGCTAAAATTAGCTGTCGGGCTTCTGCAGAATGAATAAGTGGCTGATATTTAAACAGAACTTATTTTCCTGGTGTTTAACCTTAGGCCATTTGTTTTCAGGTTCATCTTTAACTTGATAGCTTTGGGACAGAAGCCTAAACAGGCCTGTCAATGATTTAAGATTTAGATGTTTACTTAATTCACAGAAAGAGTCAGTTACCTCAGATAGCAGGGTAGTTCACAAACTCCACAAAGAGTAACTGGAGCATCTTCAAGTGGAAATTGATAGAGGGATTGTAATTCATTAGTAGCAGCTCTCCATTTTAAGGAACCATCAGACAACTTCCAAGTTCCCTCTCAGGGTTGAGTAAGAGGAACACTGTGCAAAGGTTATGATTCAGCATATTTTGTTAGACTGCACATTTTCAGACTGGCTTCTCAAGAGAAACATGTCTGGTATTTGGCAGTGACAGGGGTTGCAGTCTTCTGTAAAGGACCAAGGATTGTTCTGACTCTGGCTCTGATTTATGAATCCAAAATGATCTCTAAGCAGAGAAGATTTGCAACACTTGAGTGGGGTCTCCTATGCACCCTACTAACAAATCTTCCATTTTAGAACACTGAAGAAATTGTCCCTCCTTTTCCATGTCATGCTGTTAAGAGATGCTAACCTCAGCTAAAGTGCATGGCTGAAAACCAGGAGTTCTTAAATTCTGATTCTGCCAAGTCAAAAGCACTTCTGTATGAGAAAAGCATTAATTGACTCCCCAGTACTCTTGTGTTTCTTACTGTGTTCTTAAGATAATTGGATAGTAGAGTCTGAGTGTGTGTTTGCAGTGCAAGGAGATGGTATGACCTTTTGCCTATTTTTTTCTTTCCTGTCCATATAAATATGATAAGAATAAGGTTGGAGAAGAATTTTTGTAGGATTTTTTTCTGACTGGTCAGTGATGGTCTAACCATAAACGAATAACCAGTGAAGCATTTGTTATAAATGTGATTGGTATTGATTTTTCTTTTGAAGAGTGAAGGGTCTTGCTTTGCAAGTGATCAGCAACAGATTTAAGTGTTAGGATGGCAAGTCCAGGCTGTTTTCTGATGTTGATGTTGCATCTTCTTGTTTAACTTTCAGGTTGCAGCAGCCAGTGGTCACACTGTGGTGTTAGTAGACCAGTCAGATGAAATCCTTAAAAAGTCTGCAAAAGGAATTGAAGAGAGTTTGAAGAGAGTGGCAAAGAAGAAATTTGCAGACAAGCCTGAGGTTGGCATAATCTTCTTTATTCCTTTACAAAAACTTAGGAGAATAAAACTTGCCATACTGAAGTTCTGATAGGCTTTACAGTTGCATTACAGAGCATGTTAATGTACTGTCTTAAAAATAAAACTTTCCAGTGTGATGTAGAACTTGGATTTTCTTGATTCAAGGACATTGCAAGATGTCTTACCTTCTTTCCTTTGTACACTTCAGCCTTGACATAAAGATTTAAAACAACTTGGTGACCTTTTAAATGAGATACTAATTGTGAAATGGTGCCAAATTATTCATCCTACCTTAATAGTGAGCTGCCTTTGAGCACTTACCTTGGAATGCACCAATTTTGTCCAAAAGGAAATAGAAACAAAATTGTCTTAATAAGGACTTAATAAGACTTTAACGAGTCTTCTTTTTTTTTTTCATCTTTTTTGTTGTCCTTACTGCAAAGAAAATGAGAGTGCAACTGTAACTACCCTGGAGTAACATGAATTAGATGTGTAAGATACTTTACATTTGCATTACTAAGACTTACATACAGCAAGTCAATGTGGATCAGATGATACATATAAAGTTATATCCTAATGGTCATTTGTTGCTATGCTTGTTTCTCTAAATTCCACAGCAGATTAGATTATTCTTTTGATATATATTAACAAATATAATAATATAGTGGTACTGATGATTACCAGCATGAATGATGCAGCAGACAAAGGAAGGGAAAAAGGGCTTGTTTGCGTGAGGGAGTACAGAAGAAAAAATGCAGCAATACCAGGATAACCAGATCATACATACTTGATTATGGGGAGTCATTTAATCCAAAATAAAATTATCAACATGATCCTTGTGCTTATATATGACATTATATTCTAGCATGCAGGTGTGTTTTTACTTCCACTGTGTCTCTGTTTACCCTTGATTCAGTCTTGCGGTTCTGTTTGATTTCTGTCCTCAAAAACTATATTGCACTGAAATAGCATTTGAACTGAAACTAGAGTGCTTGTAGCCCATCTAATTTCCTAGAAGTATTAATGTACTAGCGCATACATATCTGTTCATAAGAGTGAAACCATATAATCACTGAATGAAAACAATGCAAAGGTTTGAAACTGGAGAAATTCCTCTTTATTGTGGATTGTCTTGGAGACTGCTGATTGACCAACCAGTTTTTCACTCAAGACTCTTATGCTAAAGGTTGGACTGCAGCAATCAAAACATTTGATTAATTAGGGAAAGTTTGTCAGTGAAAGCACTGTATCTTTAAATACTTAGAACTTTCTCACTACTTTGGAAGTGTGGCAGACTACCTGAATTTTTGAGGGCTCAAAAACACTTCAGAGCACATAAGGGGATTTTCATGTAAGAGTAAACTGCATCATTGTAAATAGACATTGCAACTTCTTGAAATGTTTCAGGCTGGTGCTGAGTTCATTGAGAAGACCTTAAAGAACCTCACAACAAGCACAGATGCAGTAACAGTGGTCCACAGCACGGATCTGGTGATAGAAGCCATTGTGGAAAACCAGGAAATTAAAAATGAACTCTTCAAGAGGCTGGATAAGTTTGCTCCAGAGTATGTGTATTTTTCCTGTTATATTTTGAAACGTAGGCCTTTGTATCCTTTCTTTGTATTTTTACACCATTAGTTCTGCTTTTTCCGGGATTTTTTTTTTTTAAAGGAGTTTTTCTTCCTTAGACTTCAGACTTTCAGGTGGTCTGGAGTAGTTGTTGTGCCAGGTGCATATGTTACACATATTTTGAGCTGTATTCACCGTGTTTATCTGCTTGTTGAATTACTTCATTTGCTGTACTTCTTGGTACGTTTTGTCATAAAGTTTGTCCATCTACTCCACAAGTTCAAATCTAAATGCAAATGTACAACAGTAGAACGAGCTTGTCCTGGTACATGTTTGGTATGGTTAATATATGTGTTACTATATTTAAATAGGGAATTGGGATGATTAAGCATTTGTTTTCAGTATGCCTGGCATGAACAAGTTTTAAGAAGGCTTAGCCGTAAGTCACAGTCAACAGTGTCTTACATTTACTTGGTTTTGTGGGAGTTTGGAAATAGCTTATTGCTGGTTATTTTGTGTGAGGTCAAGGTATCAATAATTTAGCATGCACTCATTTGCTTACAGTCCCTGGAACTTTCTTTGAGCTATATTTTATAGCTGTTGGAAGTTACTGTTGAACTGTATCCAAACTGTTTAGCACTGAGCATGCAGTCTCAAAAGCTTAATCCTTGACATGCATGACTCGGGATCACAAGACCCTGACTGCTTGCAGGTAGAGGTTTTAACTGGTACAGATAAATCAGGGGGTATTGGCTAAGAGGTATTCTAGACTGTCTAACAAAAAATCTAGTCAAGCTGCAGCTTGAGATAATGTCAAGGGAGAAAAGATGTTATAATTAGCTCACTTCAGCCTGGGAAGATTTTCAGACTGTCTCAAATGGTAGATAATCAAAATTACCTGGTACTTCTGAAAACAATAAATGATCACAAACAGCTGTGCACTGAGCACAGGGTAACTTGCCCATTACCTGACAGAGTAAGTAGCTGCCTTTGGTAATTATCAGGGTACCTTGTCATGATTAGTTTGTGCTTATTTTGTGAAAACAGACCATTGATTGCCTGAGCCCATATTCAGCAGGGAAAGCTAATGACCAAATTAGAGTGTACTAAATGGCAAACTGTCTAGAACCAGTCAGCAAGGAAAAGTAGGCACAGGGACTTGGACCCTCATTTAATAATATGTATATTTGGAACACCCAAGGCTATTTTTTGTAAGTCTGAGCTGTTTATAATCATAGCTGCCTTGGACCATCCAATTTTACGTTACAGACTGTTAAAGGATACTGGGAGTTGTTCAGATCAGCTTCTTTCTGTGGCAAAAGGTATGACTTCTCAGGGTTGGAAAATTACGTCAGACAAGAAGCCTTCCTTTTAAAGAGGAGAATTGGAGATGGTGATAAACAGGTATCTTATATGAAGGATGAAGAAAAGGAAATTGAACATTGAAGACTATGGGTTGTAGTGTAGAAAGTCTAGATAAGAAGGAATAGCTAGTAAAATGGTGAAATTTAGTAGCCAAGTTTTTAAAATGTTAGCTATCAGTTAAAAAGGGTAATTGTAATTACATTAGGAATACAGAATTGCAGATCCTGTGAGTAGCATGGGGAAAGGCAGTAATGTCTGAGTGGCTTTTGTGTTAGAAGGAAGCAGTTGGCTAGTAGTAGTAAGCTAGTAGAATATTTGCAAAAAGTGTAAATAGGAATTTTTAGGATTTTTTATTCTCTAACAAATTATCAAAAACTGAGAAAACATAATAAAAATGGAAACCAGTGTAGGTTTTTTTATCCCCACATGTTTTCTTTTAATGTCACTCTAAGATGTCCCCATGACTTGGACATAACTTTTTTGAAAGCTTTGTTGTGAAACTCAAATGTATCTTAGTGAAATGTAGTCAAAATACCAATATAGGTTAATATTTGATAGTTAATGTGTCCAGTAGGATAACATTTTGAAAGATCTGTAGGATACAGCCCAAATGGAAGGTAGGGTTTTGTCTCTAGTGTCTGATTCTTATAGCTTGAAGAAAAAGTAATTTCTGTAAGTTTTAGGTATGATGTCAGTATAGCGTGGCTGTTGAGATTCTGAGATATTTCTGGGAAAAAAAACAACCAGCAAGCCATTATTAGTTTGAATTGGTAAATCTGGTTTATCTCTGGTAAAGAACTTCATGTATGTCTTCAGATCCTTGTGATTTTTGTGTATCTTTTGCAGTGCCCTGTGCATGGCAGTTTTTATCTTTTCTCTGTTTTCTTCCATCAGTTCTTTGCTCATCGCATCTACCATTGATCATTTTAAAATCAAATAGATACCGAATTTTTCTTATGGCTCTGAAATGCATTTTTGGCATGGCAAGTGATTTGCTTTCTATAGATGTGTAAATTAATTATAAAAAATACCATTGTTTTTCCAGGATTGCTGGAGGAATTGCCTGGAATAGATTTGAGAAGTTAACAGTTTTTTTCTACTTACAGGGCGGGTTGGTGTTTTTTTTGTCACCTAAGATAAGTATTCAATATACTTACTTGGGAGTCAGAAGCTCACACAGCCCTTCCAGTAGTTACTTCATCATTGCTGTACTTACACCTTAGCAAAAGGGCCATGATAATCTGCAGGGATATTTCTGAGTGTTCTGTGGATGGTTAGCCAGTAGATGTCTATTTATGTTTAGTGCACCAGTCTCCTACTGTCAGGAAAATGACTGTCCTTTATTTAATCCGTATGTTGTTGTTTTTCTTTCAGGCATACAATATTTGCAAGCAACACTTCATCCTTGCAAATCACACAGTTGGCTAATTCAACCACCAGGCAGGACCGATTTGGTGGTCTCCATTTCTTTAATCCTGTGCCTATGATGAAGCTTGTGGAGGTAGGGGTCTTATAATGTCGTCATAGTTACCCACTGTAGCACCACAGTGCAGTTGTCATCACTGAGACTTCAGTTACATGAAGGAGTAGATCTCAGTTTGCAGCTCTTCTGGTATGGAATAAGCTACTTCTAGGGGTAAGAGGGTGGTGCAGTCTCTCCTGGAGGGGTCAGGTTGAGGCTCTGAAGTTCTCCACTGAACTGCCAATAGAGGTGCAGTTTATAATGGTCATTTTGGGCACATGGGAAAGCTGGTAAATAAGAAACTACTGACAGCTTAAACAAAGTCACCTGACAACTGACAGAGGAGTTTTATCATTACCAGTATAGAAATGGATAGAAAATGACATGGAATGAAATCTTAACTGCTTTGTAACTTTTGAAACAAAGTCTGTCAGGTTTGTTTCAGTGTGTCAGATGATTCATTTGTAAGTCTTACAGTATTCCCCAGCCTTTAAGGAAGTGTGAAAAGAAGTTTTTACATAGCTCTTAGTATGTTTTTTCTAAACATAGTCTCTTAGAGTACATCAAGCAATTCCTAATAATACTGCAAAGCAGAGCAGAATAAGAAATAATCATTTCTTATAATAAGAAAAATGAGAATAAGAAAAACAGTTTCTGTGAGCATCCAAAGTAAAGGTCATTGCAGAAAAAATTACAGGTCTCACCTTTTCTCCTTTTTATCACTTTCCCCTGTTATGGCTGACGTTCATCAGCTAGAATTTTTAAACTCTTGAGTAAATTAAAATAAACTTTGCATTGTGACCACTCTGCCCCAAAGTTTCATGTACTTCATTCCCTTAAATATGTTGTAAGTCCTTTTCCTCTGTCCCATGACTGGTTACTTCTAGTATTGCTTTGGTGACAAGCACTTCAAATATGTTGTACCTGCCTTTTGAACTCCAGAGATTTACTTTATTATATTTTTTGCTTGGTTTGCATTAAAATACGGTAATGCAGTTGCTTGCTCTGTGTCTTTGAATATATAATTTATTCCTTCCCCTTTTGAAATGTTTGAACCTTTTGGCTGAAATTAACAAATTTCATTTAAGAGTATGGTCAGACACTTGCAAATTCTTTCTCACTAACTTCTGTACCCATGCACTTTTTTTTAAAGTTTATTATTGTGTTCTCTGTATTATGACTAAATGCTCTGGGAAAATGTAAGAAGAAAAGGGAGGAGCTTTGTAAGTGTTGTCAGAGATGATGGAAATCTTTAGCATAATTCCATAGGCTAACAGGTGTTTTTGATTTCTGTGCTAAAAAGTGCTCATTTGCAGTAATTTCTGTCTGTGGATCAAATGTTCTATGCCTTGTTTCAAGTGTAAAAGAAATCATAGTCTAGAAATCTTAAGCTAAGCCTTTGTGAGATTTGAAAAATACAGAAGATACCCATCATCATTTGTAAAAAAACAAAACAGGGTGATCCCTGTCTTACTGCTGTGATTTTTTTCACTTGAGTTATGAATGTCCCCAGAGTCACTCCAGTTGATGAGTAGTATTTGAAGAACTTTAAAACACAGAAGCAGTACTTTCAGTGACTTGATCTTGAAAGGCAACAATATTAGTAAATAAATACACTTCTTAAAGTTTTGCTTTTGTTTCAGTTCTGCTGCTATAGATCAGGATTGGCATTGACAAACACTATAGAACAGCATTTTCTCTGTGAAATGGATGTTTCAATTTGAAGTAATCGGAGGAAAATCAAGAGAATTGCCAAACCTATGAAAGATATTACTGAAATTGCCAGTCATCTATCATGGAAGGTGTCCTTAATGGGTCCCAGATCTGCAGTACCTTTGAGTCCTATCTGCTCTTTTCATAGATTTTTTTATCTCATGGTCGGAAGCTCTTTATCTCTGAGGGGATTTCTTTCTTTAATAATCCAAAAGGCTAGTGCTGATTTTTCTAACTGTTGCAGTCTTACAAGTATCTAAGATATTTTTATCTAATATTGAAGTAAAAGAGGACTTATTTTTCTGCTGAGAAGCAAACCTTTTCCTCAGCCGTAACAGTATTATTTTGTTTTCAAAATGTGCAAAATGCCGTATCTATCTTTAAAATAGATTTCTGTGTCTGTTCCATATGTATCGCCACTGAAATTGTTTTTTGCAAAACAAATGTTTTGTGAGTTTCTGGAATAGTGTTCTGCGTTACAGTTAAATCATTGCTGTATTTACTGCAAATGAGAGAGATTCTGCTGGCAGATGTGGTTACACTCTCCCTGTCTTCCCTCTGTCCAGGTCATCAAGACTCCAATGACCAGCCAAAAGACTTTTGAATCACTTATGGATTTCAGTAAAGCAGTAGGAAAGAGTCCTGTCACTTGTAAGGTGAATACATTTCAACTGTATAGTGTTCAGTAGGTCTGTTTTTGAAAATTGTTAATTTTAAGGTGATGTAAGAGCACTTCAGGAACTTCTAGGCTACTTTTTGTCCTGTTTTTCTTCCTATTAAAAGCATTTTGAGAAAGAAAACTCCCACATTTACCTCAAATTCCTCAAAGTAAAGTGATTCTAGACGTCTCGTTTAGAGCAGCAAAACTCAAAAGTATCAGGGTTTACAGTTTTTTATTTTTTCTTTTCCAGTCCTGCAGAAGCCTGGACTGGGGAGCTTAAGCAGGAGCTCATCTTTAGCCATGGTAGAGACAAGACCTGCTACCTCTTGTACTGTGAGGCGATTGGATGAACCCTCTATGGTGTGTGCTCATTGCAAGTTTTTCTTAAGCCTGCAGTAACTAGACCCATATTAATCTTCATTGCTTCTCAGCTTTGTTTTTTTTTTCTCTAGAGGGACACCCTACTTCCTAAGCACACTTTTTCTGAATCCATGAAGTTGTGGTCTGGGTAGCTTTATGTGAGCCATTGCCTTGAGTTTCACAGCCCCCAGGAGATTTGGCCATAAAAAGAAGGACCTCCAATCTGGTAGTTACCAGTAATTCAGCATCTGGATTCTAATTCTGGCTATACTGCTGAGCTGCTCTGTGGCCTCAGTTGACACTTCCAGTTTCTGTTACATTTTTTCAGTATGTAAATATAGAATACAGGTTGAATTATTGCTACAAATTAGCTTGGGTAGAGGGTAGTACAGTCTCCATGTCTGACCCTTTTTTTTTTTTTTTATTTCTGTTTGTACAAGAAAAGTTGTTTGGAATTTTTTTTATTAAATATTGTGATAGAACAGAATGAACAGTAGACATCTGGAACAGTAGTAGTATACAAAATAATACTATATTTACAAAGTTCTTTTTGTATTTGATTGCATTTTTAGATTTTGACTAAAGCTTGCATAAAAGGGGTTTTGTATCAGTTTATCTTCTGACAGAATGAAACCGATCTTTTCATGGATAATCCTGACTGAAAAGCATGGTTTACCAGTGTGGTTGGGGAAAAGTAGACAATTTCGCTAGTTTTTCTAGTAGTAAACAACACAAAAAAATCTGTTAGGGAAAAACTGTTCTTCTCCTATTCTTCAAGAAACTGTATCAGCAGAATTTTGCTAAAGAAAAGGCATTTGCCAGCTGGCTGCATTGAATTGCTCTAAGATTAATTCAGTTGGGCTTGTAATAGTCTTATTGTTCTCAGTCATGATGAATGTTTATTTGCCATTTCTTGTTCGTGAAATTCATTTATGTGTGTTAATAACAAGCAGATAAATCAGATGAAAAATACAATTTATAGAGTACCAGAAGCTGATTCAACTAGTGTCTTCATCCACTTGTTTAATTTGTCATGTAGCATTTGAGTGTAGTGCTGGTAAATAATATTTATTCAGAATCCCCTTTTTTTTTTTCTTTTCATAGGATACTCCGGGATTTATTGTAAATCGTCTCTTGGTGCCATATATGATGGAAGCTGTCCGACTTTTTGAGAGAGGTACTTGTTGGGATATTCACTCCAGGGAATGCTGACATATAACACTGCTAAATGTTAAATCCCTTCAGAAAAGCCTCAGGATTCCTTCAAAGCTTTAGGTCCTGGAAGGCTGGAAATGAATAGTGAACATCAAATATGAGCCAGTGTATATAGCTGAAAAGGTCTTGTCTTCAAAATGAAACGTCAGTGTATGCAAAGTCAGAAGGTACTAGTTACCTACGTGGGAAATTCCTGATGGTGGAAAATGTTTCTGGTTTGGAGATGACAAGGTGAATGTTGTGGCATTGTAAAAATTCCCACTGCCAGCTAATCAGGAGCCTCCCTCTCCATCCCAAGAGACATTAATGAAGGTGATTAAAAATCCCGAAATATGTCCATGAGCAGAGTTCTCCTGAGTTCACTTACATTTGGCTTCTGAGATAAAACACCAATTTTCAGATGAGGTAAATGGTGTAACACTCAGCATCACACTATGGAACTGGCAACAAGTGATTCCACCATAAAACCTCTTCTGTGTCCTTTTTTAGACATAGGTTCTTTACAAACTTCTGGTCTCCTTAATGCTGAGGGTAGATAGAAACAATCATGGATCCCCAAAGAACCGCTACATTTTTCAGGGCATTGATAATTGTTTTGAAAAGGAAACAAGCCAGTAATGTAGTGGATAATGGAAAATTATGGAGTATAATTGCTTTTATTTCAAGTGCTTTGCTCATACTCCATGCGACTAAGAATGTAATTTGAAACATTTTGGTTTTGAAATCACTGCTTTCTTACAGATGAAAGCACTCCATTATAAGGATTCCACCAAATATGCTTTAAATATTAAAAATGTCTTTTATAGCACATGGAAGGCATGGTTTGATCTCCAGACAAAAAAATATAAACCAACACACTTGTTTATCCATCAACAGATGTACTTAATTACATCTCAAAGGGAGAAAAGAGTAAATTTAGTGACTTGAAAGGCAAAGGCATGGATGCAAGAGGGCATTACTCTCTAAGAAAGAGTCACAATTTAAAATGAAGTGTATGGGTGTTCCAATGTGTTTAAAAGAGTTGCCTTTGTTAAGTGACATGAATAATGCATATTTCAGGAGACAATAGAACTTTTAATTAAATGTAGAAGAAAACAGTCATTGAGATTGTATGTTTAAATTGACTGTTTACTGCCTAAGCAAAACAATATTTTGATTTCATCTTTATTCTGTTTGTATTTTGTTGAACAGTATGGTATTTCCAAACTTGTTGAAGTTAATTTATGAATGTTTAACTAATGAAATCTATTTTTAAAGCTGATTAGTGTTTTGAAAAGCCTGATAGCTGTCTTCTAATTCATATTTTCTGTTGAATCAGGTTAAAGTTTTATCATATCTTTTGCATTAATTCTCAGAGCAGACACTTGAGCCAGATTGTCATCCATGTTAGCAGGAAATTGGGTCTCTTTCCTGGCAACCCCAAGCACTGAAATACCATTTTATTGGATCAGCCCTTCAGTCTGTCTTTATACAAATACCCTTGGGTTAAATGTGTACTTTTGCATAGGCAAAATATCTTTAGTATATTAACAGAGATTTAAACAAGGGGCATAGTAGAAATATTAATGTGTGGTGGTCTGTACTGCCCTGTTCTTAGTGGAAAACCAAAAAAGCAATTCATCAGGTTTATATGGATGTCTGCTTTATACAAGGAGACTAGCATGAACTAGGGGTACAACCCTTTTTTTGCCCTTTTAGTATTTTTAATTGTATTGTAATGCAACTCTGTACTGTCATGTGGCCATGTCTCAGGTTTGACAAAGTGGGACAAATCTGTTGATAAAAGAAATATGGAAAAAAGGAATTAAGGGGTGTTCCTCTACGAAGGTGACATGTCCAGCAGCCCAGCTAAAATGCCTCTGCACCAATACATGCAGCATGGGCAACAAAGAGGAGGAGCTGGAAGCCACTGTGCTGCTAGAAAGCTGTGACCTGGTTGCCGTTACTGACACTTGGTGGGTTGAATCCCTCGCCTGGAGTGTGGCTATTGATGGCTGCAGGCTGTTCAGAAGGGACAGGCAAGGAAGGAGTGGTGGAGGCATTGCACTTTATGTCAAGAAATGGGTGGAGTGTGAAGAGCTGTCTCTGAAGAATAGCCACAAGCAGGTTGAAAGCTTGTGGGCAAGAATTAGGAACTGAGGCAACAAAGGGAACCTTGTCTTTGGTGTCTGCTACAAGCTGTTGGTCAAGGGTAGCTTGTTGACGAAGCCTTCTTACTCCAGCTACAGGAGGCATCACACTTGCAGGCTCTTGTCCTGCTGGGGGACTTCAGCCACCCAGATGTTTGCTGGAAAAGTAGCTCTGTGAGCAACGCAAGTGAGCTAATCAGTGACATCAAGATTCAAGGCAGCCTGGGCTGCAGTGGTCATGCACTGGTGGAGTTCACAGTCCTGAGGAATAGGGGTCAGGCAAGGAGTAACGTTAGGACCCTGAGTTTTAGGAAAGCAAAATTCCAGCTCTTCAAGGAGTAAGTCCACATGACCCCTTGGGAAACTGCCCTCAGGGAAAAGGGAGCAAAGCAGAGCTGGCAGATCTTTAAGGATACTTTCCGTGGAGCACAAGAGCTGACATGGTCAGTACGTGTAAGAAATCAGGCAAGGAAGGCAAGAGACCAGCATGACTGAGTCAAAACCTGCTGGGCAAGAGGGAAATGCACTGGCAGTGGAGGGGAGGGACTCCTTCTGGGAAGAGTATTAGGGACACTGCCTGGTTGTGTAGAGAGGAGGTCAAGAAGACCAAGGCACAGATGGAGCTGAACCTGGCAAGGGGTGCAGAGAGCAGTAAGAAGAGCTTCTACAGCTATGTCAGCCAGAAAAGGAACATCAAAGAAAGTGTTGCCACCCTGATGACCAAGACTGGCAAACTGGTAACCCTGAACAAGGAGAAGGCTGAGGTACTCAACAACTTTTTCACCTCAGACTTCAGTGGCAGTGTCTCTTCCCACACCTCTTGGGTGGATGGACCATGAGGCAGGGACTGGGGGAGCAAAGTCATTTCACTGTAAGAGAAGATTGGATTTGTGACTGCCCGAGGAACCTAAATATGTGTAAGTGTATGGAACCTGATGAGATGCGTCCCAGAGTCCTGAGAGAACTGGCTGATAGAGTTGCCAGGTTGCTCTCCATGATACCTGATAAGTCCTGGCAGTCAGGTGAAGTCCCGAGTGACTGGAAAGAGGGAAACAGTGCACCTATTTTTAAAAAAAGGGTAGAGAGGAGGACTGTGGGAGCTACCAACCTGTCAGCCTCACCTAAATTGCACAGGCTGTGCCTGCCCAGCTTTTGGACACCCTGAACGCCTGTTATGCATCGAGCATGGAGGTTACTTACCAAGTACTTCTGGAGTTTGTTTAACTTCGTTCTTTTTATAGGATAAGCAGTAGAGGTGCATCTGCTTCCATGACAGTATAAAATATGCATTTCCAGCAAAAGAATTGAGGTGGATATTGACTGTGACAATATGGCAATGCAGGGTTTTTACAGGCACAGTTTGAAGTAGAAATTACAAATTTCTGATAATTCTGATTAATTCCTTTAAAATAATTTTGGAATTCAAATTTAACTGCACCTGCACAGTCTCTTCAGGTCACTCCTGTCTGCTATCTCTGATGCTGATTGGTATCTTCCAGTGAAAGCTGCTGTAACTAAGCATGTTACTCAACTGCTACTGCTCCGCTCCCCATGAGTGTCTTGTTGATCAGCTGGATATCACTTGCCTTCTGGCTGTTGTAGAGTGTAGTGTAACTCTGTCCTGTGCATCATTCAAAGGCTGCTGCTGATCTCAGGAAGCTGAAATTGAGATCTTCCCTTACTTGCACTGTTCAGATGCCTCTAAAAGAAGCTCTTGATTCTTCATAGTGACCGGTTCTTCCTCTAGTCTGTCTGAGAGATTGAGCACAGTAGGTGTGGCTCCATCAATAATGTAGTGATCTATATTGAAATGCAAGAGGAAGCTAAAAAAATGGAAAGCAGGCCTGCAGGGCGCTGCTTTTTTTCTTTTCATTTTTGTGAGAGATTCAGCTTTGTACTCTAGCATGGGTATGCTGACTCCAGTATTTGTGTTCTGAAATGTGCAGAGATTTCTGTGCAGAGCTGCACCAGGGTGAAATAACACCCAGTTAATTATTTATAGCGGTACCAAGTAGATGTGGAATCTTCTCTGTTCATCAAACTGTCAATCTTTTCTCTAGGAGATGCATCAAAGGAAGATATTGATGTTGCTATGAAGCTTGGGGCTGGCTATCCCATGGGTCCATTTGAACTGCTGGACTATGTTGGGTTGGATACCAGTAAATACATTATAGATGGTACTGCATGCTTTTTTTCTTCCATTTTTCCCCTTTTTGGCTAACTTGTGGATGAATGTTCTAATGAAAACCTGACTCTTAATTACTTTAAACTGAATGTTTATGGCACAGTCTTTTAACTGTTGAGGAGAAAGGAATGAGAATGAAGCTCAGAATGCTTGTCGAGTACAGCTTTTTTATTGTATGCATGTACCCTATATACATGGGGACAGAACAGTGGTGGTTTTGCTGACTTCATCAAGTTCCAGGGAAAAACCAAAAATAATAGTGGAACTTTACATAACTAAAAAGAATCAGTGGAAAGAGAGACATGTACTGAATATAAGAAATTCTGATGCAAAGCAATAAATGTTGAGACTCCCTGTCCTTTTTTTGCCATATTTTAATTCTCAATTGATAGGAAACCCAGTACATATCTTCATAGATGCAAGTATAGTATCTCCCTTTCACTTCAGTTAGTAAGTGGATGACTGTCAGTACAATAACAAAAAAAGACATATTTGGTGATGGCTTGCTGATGATTGTTGTATTATTTTAATTGAGCAGCTGAAATATTCTCTTGAGGCAGAATGTCATTTTCAAAAAGGCATCTTTAGTGAAACCTCTTTTAGCCAGTACTGTGGAGAGTAGTGCAAATTGTTCTAAGTGTCTATTGTTCTAAGTGGCCATGTCTTTCCACAGGTAGAAATTAAACTTGGAATTTCTTTCCACACGAAATTCTTTTCAGCATAGCCTTTGTTTTATTTCCTTGTAATTAACTATATTTTAAAAGTTCTCCTTAATTTTTTAAAAGTATTAAAAAACCTCAGTCATAGAAATTCTAAGGTGTTCAGAGTAGATGATGCCTGAAGACGATAAAGACATAATTGTCAACGCTCATCTGTGCTTTATGAAGCTGCATTGAAGGGTCTTAGAGAGTCTAGAATAAATTCCGAACCTTCTTCAGTTTTCAGACCTCTTACTATTTTTTCTAAGGAGGTGCAGGTATAAATGTAACTGTTACTAATTCATCCACTTCTTTTCTTCCCCCAGGATGGCATTCATTAGAACCAAACAATCCTCTTTTTGCACCCAGCCCACTTCTGAACAAACTGGTAAAAGAGAAGAAGCTGGGTAAGAAGACTGGAGAAGGATTTTACAAATACAAGTGAACTCCAAACTTCGAGAAGTGTTGAACTACCTGTGTATGCTATTCTGCATTGCCATATTACAGGTGAATTCTGTTTAAACCTTCCCAAGGATGGTACAAGCTGCATTTAGAACATAACCCACCTCTGAACTGAATGATTGCACTAGTTAACTATTTCTCTGGTGAAAGCTTGATTTGGAAGATTACTTTTTTCTTGTAATTCTGAAAAGCTCTATATGTGCAGTGCCTTTTTGCAAACGTTGATTTTTAAGGTGCAGGACAGAATGACAAGTGAATGTATGTATTTGAAACATTATTGCATTAACGGAAAAAATCCTAAAAGTAACCACACTTTCTAAAAAATAAATTTTTCAGCAATTCTGTATTGAATGGCATGGCTTGCAGTTGATGTACTTTGTCCGCTGGGTGGCAGTCTCTTTTCACTCTGACAAGTGTGGCGACTGAAAGGCAGGAAGTTGTTTTGTTGTGATTTTTCTTAAGTGCGGTGCTAATACATAGATGTAAATTACAGTCCCTTGAAAATACTTTTTTGAGTATCATATTGTTTTTTAAAAAGTTAAAAATCCAGCAGTGACAGGCTGGGACCTGGACAGAAGGTTCCCAATACAGCATTTAAAAAGAGAATTCTGTGTTTGTGTTGGGATTTTCTGGCATTTTCAATTACTGGCTGAAGGCCTCCTTCTGCAAGGACCTGTAGAAGCATAATGAAGAGGTGGTTTCTATTCTGAAGGACTTAATACACAGATTTATTAATGAAGCTAGGAAGCTGATGAAAGCTTCCATCTGCTTTCTAGAGTCCTGCAAATGGGCTTTATTTACTGGCTATTCATTTGAACTGGCATTTTTACACACTATGCTACTACTGTAGTTGAGTACTTTTTGGGATTGAAATTGGAGTGTGTGTTGTGTAAACAAATAGGTGTGTCTGGCTGTGTGAGGCACCTTCTGTTTTGCAGCTTTTATTTCCTTGGGTCTTGGCAGAGCCTGGATTTATTCACGGCAGGAGTGCTGCAAATCCTGCCTTTTCTCCCAACACTGCAGAGTAAGTGGTCTTGAGGGGTGGAGTTCCAATTAACTGAGAAATAGGCTTCTTTTACTTTGTGAATTTGGGATTGGCAAGCTAAGTGCTTATATATATTTTTAATTTTATAAAGTTAAATAATTATTAATAATTTTTTTAATTGCCTCTTCCTCCCTCCTCCACCATGTAATTCAGACTGCATATAAAGAAAGAAGCTGAGGCCCTCAGATGTTTAGTTTCCTTGCACACAATCACAAAAGAAATCTCTGAGTAGAGAATAAAAATTGTTGTTTTTTTGAATCGTGGTTCCTGATTATAAATCTTCTGATTTTGGGTTGCTTGTCAAGACAGTCTCTTTTCTTTACCAATGTATTGTTAAATTGAATTTGCTTTCCTAAAATGCAGTCCACTTCTTGCATCTGAAGTCTTTTTCACTAGAGGGTTCTTAGTGCCTGTAATTGTTGAGTGACTTCTAAGTGCTGCAGGGTCAAGTTAGCTTCAGAACTACTGTTTTCAGTAGCAATTAAAAATGGGAACGTGTATTACTCTTGTGCCTTAAAAAATGCGATTTGTTTTTTTACATAAATACTTAGGCAGAATTAACTTGATGCTGTTCCCTTTACTTAGAAGATAATTTTGAATTTGGAAATAGGCTATTTAGTTTTAAATGTGTAAAATATTTTTCACTATTAAATGTGATATTTTGAAAAAACAAACTTTGTCTAAAACAGTGCACTCCTTTCAGGAGCTTTAGCTGGTGCTATATGTATAAGTGTAATACATACAGGAAACCTGAAAGAGACATTTGTAAGTTTGGCTTGCTGTTTCAGAAGAGCCTTCTCTTTCTCAGTAGCAAATAGGCCACGTGGAGGTACTTTAGCGATGGGTGGGGATGGTTTATTTTATCAGCATGTGGAGTGCAGTGCCAGGATGAGCAGAGATGAGGTGAAGCACCAGAACTTTGAATGCTCTTCTTTAAATCTAGATCAGAACACATAGTGGTAATCGAATGACTGAGGTCACTGAATCAAGGTAAGCCTTTTCTTTTGCTTCTCAGTGAGGAGGCATGGAAGATGTAGAACTCCCCTGGGTTCAACATCATGATGACATTGGTCAGAAGTAGGATCTTAAATAGTCGCTCTAGATTTGTACAATTTCTGCAGCTTTGACAGTTTAAAGATACATAGGAGACTTAAAGAATGAGTAATTAAATAAAGGAATTGTCTGTCTGCTTTCCCTCAATAAAAATTATTTTCCAGCCCTTGCTCTGTCTGTGACTTGATGCAGAGGTACCTGAACCACCTTCTGCTGCATGTAGTGTTAACACTAAGTGAAGAGGAATCTCCTGCTGGTCAGCACCTCAGACTAGGATGTGGTACGTTAGACTTGCTGTCACCAGTCAGCTCTTCCTGAATTTTTATTAATAAGGGAAAAGAGATTGTGGAAAAAATAAGGGATAGAATAGAAAGGGGGAAGGGTGTTTGGTTTCCCTCAGTGCCTACTTTAAAAACCTTTAATCTTCATTTTCCTTTTTGTCAGCAGGCCTCACAGATTTAGAGCATTTGCCCCACTTTGGTCAAAGCTTTGAGATGTACAGTTGGCATGACTTGAGGGCAGCTTGACAGCCAACAGCTGTGAGGAGTCTGATGTGAGCCCAGCTCCTGCAGCTGGGAAGATGGCTCCAGATTCAGCATCTGGGTCATTTCAGTTGCCAAATGTGCTCCATCTGTGGTCATCCTAGTTGCTGATGTGATTGGGTGTAGAATACAGGAGCACAGCAAAACTTACAGAGGGAGTTGAAAGCAGAATTGTAATTGAATTGAAGATGCTCTGCATCACTTACTTATGAAGTATAAAGTACAAGAGGTGGCAGTGAAGTTTAATCTGAATAGGAATTAAGTGTGTAGAAGTTAAAAGTTTGGCTCTGCTCTAACAAATGGAAAGTGCTCCAATAGTGGGGCTGAGCACCATAATGCTTGTATGCAGGTTAATAGTAACAGTTGCCTGTTTGTTGAGTGCAGGTGTCTTGAAGTTCTAAATCTGCATCTGTGTTTGCAGAAGTCATTGAACTTTTCCATTCTATTACTGTAGGAGATTAATTTTCATAGAAGATACAGATATCAACTTGCAGCATGGATTTTAATCTGGAATGGAAAGTGGTTTGTTACTTCCTCCTTCCTTCATTGTGGGAACTTGCAGAACATCACCTTGGTAGGAATTTAGTTGGGAAAACAGCATTGCCAAAGAATTTACTGCATGTTAATTGTCTGCCTCTGGAGATGAGTAGCTGCTTTGAAGACTATCTCTATCCAAATGGGAGTTTTATGAACCTATGCCTTATTTTATACAATAGGAAGAAAGCTTAACTGAGCAACTGCAAAAAACTACTTGAAAAAGTATCTTACTCCTTTGTTACTTTTCCTCTATGCCATCTGACCCAGGAGTATTTAAGTGACAATGCATATGCCCTTCAAAAACCAATTATTATAAACGACAGGCTATTGATACCCAGTACTACCAGCCCTGTGCTTCACCAATGAATCAGGCCTCTGGAAATCATGGTGGTGGCTGAAAAATGAGATTCAGAGATTTGTTTTGGTTTTGTTTTCTTAATCGTATAGTTAGTGGTGATTCTTCTCCTGATGTTCTGTGAATAAGGCTCTTAACCACACTTTCACATATCAGTGAAACTTGAGGTTTTCCAGTCTATCTCTTCACTAGGTCAACTTAATACAAATTTATGAATGCTTGTCAGGCTCAAGAATTAAAAATAAGAAACTTGCTGTATAAGTCTAAATGTAGAAAGATGTGATTGTCTGGTTAAGTCTGTACTTGTTATTAGAAAGAGAAGGGCCTCTGAAAATGAGGGATTTGCAGTTTGCCCACCCAGAAGGTTGTCTTGGTGTGAAAAAGTCTTGTGTGTTCTTGACATTGTGCCAGACTTTGGCCAGTGAAGTCTGCGAATGAGTTAGGTGTAAGCTAACTGAATATAACATATTTCTGTGGTCAGAAAGGTAGGTGCTAGAGGATGTAGGTACTAGCAAACAATCTCTATAGTGTTACTTTATGCTTTAATTTCAGTGCAAGTATTGTATAATGTGGTATAGTGTCGAGGTCTGAGATCTGCGAGGACAGTGTCATTTGGGTGTGTGTATTGTAGGAGCATAAAGGAGACAGGATGGCATTATTCTTTGGGGAGGCAGAAGGAATGATCAGCCTTGAGAAAGCATGTGCTGTTTCTGCTGCTTTGGGTAAGCACTTCTGACATTTTATTTTATGAAAAATTCTTCTCCTTGAAGAGAGATTGAAGAACTTGTGTGAAATTACAGATGTCTGCTGTTCTCTAGTGAATTCTTTGTGTAAGCATCCACTGTAGCATCACGAGATACAAAATGTTTTCCATGTCTTAATGTTCTTCAAGCCTGGACCCATTTTGATATATATATAGCTGATGGTTACTGCAGGTGTTCTTACTAATAATTTTTAGTAAGCTATCCACACATAACAGCCGAAGGTTAATGCATAATTGTTCTTACATCTAGAGAAAGCCACTTCACAGTACCAAGTGGCTTTAAAGACGTGGGCAAACCAGAAGCAGTTTTTGTAGTTTGTAGTAACCAGCTTTCCCTAAAAATTTACTGCTGATAGTTTTGGAGTTAATTTTTTCAAGAGAAGCAGTAGTCTTCTTGGACCTGTAGCTGTGGTGCTATGTTCTTACTCTTCTGACTAGTATCACCGCAGTGACCTACATCTCAGTATTCTTATTCACTGCAGTTTGCAACCATGTGAACAATTATAAACCTGACCTGAATTATGTCTATTTCCCTGTGCTTTCTGGAAGAGGTGAGATCAGGAACAAAAGCAAATGCTGTGATTCTTTTGAGAGCTAGATCTTTTCATGCTATGTGTTCCTTCAGTAGCCTTTCATTTTGTTTGTAGTCAAGGGGAAGTGCTTCTGCTGAATGTTTCTGAAAGTTAGAGAAGGGTTAAGTAGAGCCACAATCTGGTAGCTGTAAAGATGATTTGTAGAATGATCTGTCTTGAATTTTATGATCTTCTCAGAAGTCCCATTAAAACTGAAATCCCTTTTTGTGTACCATTTGTTATCCAGTACACTTTCCAATTATAAATGCAGTGCTATGCAGAGTCTTAAATGTATCATAGAACGGTACGTAATGAGGTCTGGGGTTGTTACTGATAATATATTAATTAGATTTAGGTTTGTATGCCCATGGAGTAGCTTTGTGCTTGTTCGATTCACTCTTTTATTCCCTTAAGAAACTTTCTGTTAGGTTTTCTATAAATTAGAAATGCATTCTTTGCAGAGAAACCATAAAGCTCTA